TGTTGCGTCGAGGTTTAGTGTCTGGGGCTGCTTGGCACTTGTCCGCGACACCTCTGCGGACAAGCTCTCACCTCGCAGCGTCCCCTGTGTCTTCCTTGGTTTCCCTGAGGCCTCCTCTGACTTCACCTTTTACCACCCTCCCTCCCACCGGTTCTTTGACTCTCGTGACGTCAGTTTCGACGAGTCCGTCCCCTACTTCGTCCGGTACCCCTGTCGAGGTCTCCCGGTTCCCCCCCCTCCCCTCTTCCTCGCCCCAGCTCCTCCTCCTCCCGCTCCCTCTCCTCCGGTACCCCCCCCGGTTCCCGCTCCGTCAGGTGTGTCGCAGGCTACCCCCCCTCCCTTGGTCCCCCCCCAGGTCTCTGCCCCTTCCCCACAGTCGTCCTCACAGCCTCTGCAGCAGCCGTCGGCGCTTCCTCTCCCGGCCACTGCGGACTCTGAGGGTGTTGGTGCTCGAGGTGAGGGCTCTGGCGGTGCTGGTTCTGGGGGTGTTGGAGTTGGAGCTGAGCGTGCACCTGCCGCAGCTGCACGTCCCGAGCGTGTTGGAGTCGGTGGTGGTGCTGGAGCTGGTGGTGTTTCTGGAGCTGGAGAGTCTGGGGCTGGTGCTGGTGCCACTGGCGGCGCCACGACTGGGGGTGCGGGTACACCTCCTACAGGTACTGGTCGTGCTGCCGCAGGGGGTCCTCGCTCTGGGGGTGCTCAACCGGGTCCTGTCGAGGGTAGAGCCGGTTCTTCTTCGTCGTCTCCTGACACCACTCCTCCTCCTCACCCCTACCCGACTCGTTACCAGGCCCTTCGTCATCTAGAGCGTGAGGAGCAGCAGCCTTTGGAGCGTGAGAGGTCGGAGGTTCAGCAGCGGGTGGAGCGTGAGCGGTTGGAGTTTCAGCAGCAGCAGCAGCAGCAGCCGCAGCCACAGCCACAGCAGCAGCAGCCGCCGCAGCTGCCGGAGCAGCCTCCGGCCCCTGTTTCTGGCCTTCGAGCCCTTGGTCTCCCCTCCTCTCCTCCTGTGTTCGGTCCCACGTTTCCTCCTCCGGACTCCACTCCGGCTGTCTTCCCTCGTTCTCAGTCTCCTCCGTCCCCCCCTCCTCTCGCCCACACTTGGGCCTCTCGCCCTCCTCGTGCTCGTCCCTCGTCCCCTGTCACTGACCTCCGTACCGTGTTGTTTCGTCCTCGTCCTCCTCGTTCTCCTCCGTCTATCCTTCCTCGTCCTCCTGAGTCTTCCCTCACTGCCTCCCTGTCCACTCCGGTCACTGACTACTACCGCACGTACCGCCCCACTCTCTCTCGTGTTCTCGCCTCTCTTGTTACAGACCCTCGTGCCTCTCCTTCCTCCGTCGCGGTCCTCACTACCGCTGTCACTGACTTTACTGCTACGCGTCGCCTTGACTACGCCACTCGAGTTGTGGCAGCTCCTCCTGTCCGTCCTCTGTCCGCCGGGGGTGTGTGTGCCCTTGGCTGTGACGTCCTAGAGGACAGACAGTTTGAGCTAGAGTTCCTGGCAGCTGCTTCGCCTCATCTCTGTGCCATGCTGCTCACTCCTGAGGGAGACCCCGACGCTCCTGACATACCTACTCCTCGCACTTACGCTGAGGCAGTGTCAGGGCCTTGGGCCTCTCAGTGGAGAGCTGCCATGGACGCAGAGATGGCCTCCTACAGGTCCACAGGCACTTACGTTGACGAGGTTCCCCCCCCAGGGGCGAACATTGTTGACGGCATGTGGATCTTCAAGGTGAAGCGGCCGCCGGGATCTCCCCCAGTCTTCAAGGCACGCTACGTGGCTATAGGGTTCAGTCAGCGCGAGGGGGTTGACTTCTTTCAGACCTTCGCGCCCACCCCGAAGATGACCACTCTTCGGGTGTTACTGCACGTAGCAGCGCAGAGAGACTACGAGCTACACTCTCTTGACTTCTCCACTGCCTTCCTCCAGGGCTGCTTACACGAGGAGATCTGGCTGCGTCGTCCTCCGGGCTTCACTGGCACTTTCCCGCCTGGGACCCAGTGGAGCCTCAGACGACCGGTCTACGGTCTCCGCCAGGCACCCCGTGAGTGGCACGACACTCTCCGCTCTACTCTCTCCGACCTCGGGTTTGAGCCGTCTTCCGCCGACCCGTCGCTGTTTGTTCGTCGTGGCCGTACATCTTTCTTCGTCCCAGTCTACGTTGACGACTTGGTTTTTGCCACGGCCGACACAGCTGCACTGGCGGAGGTGAAGTCCGAACTGCAGAAGAGACACACCTGCATTGACCTTGGGGAACCGCGCCGCTACCTTGGCCTGCAGATCTCCAGGGACAGAGCCGCTCGCACCATCACTCTCACTCAGTCACACATGGTGCAGCAGGTTCTTCAGCGGTTCGGGCTTCAGGACTCTTCTCCTGCCCCCACTCCTCTTGCTGTAGACCACAGACTCACTGGGCCTTTTCCTGACGAGCCGTTCGAGCCCAGTGGTCCCTACGCAGAGCTGGTGGGCTGCCTCATGTACCTGATGACGTGCACTCGCCCGGACCTCGCCTTCCCCCTTAGCATCCTGTCTCGCTTTGTTGCGACTAGGAGACACCGTCCTGTTCACTGGGCGGCGGCTAAGAGGGTGGCGAAGTACCTTGGCGCGACATCAAGCATGGGGCTTGTACTTGGAGGGACACAGCCAGTTGTACTCACCGGTCACTGTGACTCTTCCTACGCTGATGACGTTGAGACTCAGAGGTCTACGCAGGGTTACTGTTTCAGCCTGGGTTCTGGAGCTGTTTCGTGGAGGTCTACTTGGTCCTCCTCTGTTGCGACTTCTACCGCAGAGGCCGAGATCTACGCTGGGGCCCTTGCTGCTCAGGAGCTACGCTGGTTGACCTTTTTGCTCACTGACCTTGGTGAGCGGCCGAGCTCTGCACCGACCCTGTTTGCTGACAACAGGGCGATGATTCTCCTGTGTCATGAGCCTCGACTGGAGAGCCGAGTGAAGCACATCGACGTCAGGTACTTCCTCCTTCGAGGGTTGCAGAGAGGCGGACAGGCTCGTCTGGACTTTGTGGCCTCCGAGGCCAACACTGCAGACATCTTCACCAAGGCCCTCCAGCCTTGTGACCACCGTCGGTTTTGTCTGCAGTTAGGCCTCGTTGAGACTAGGTCTAGTTGACTGCTGTAGGGTGCTCTTTGTCTGTTGCTTTCTTGTACTTTATATATATATATTTGTTTGCACACTTTTGGACTGGCCTTGTGGCCCTTTGCTTGTGCTCAGATTAGGTGGTGACGTTGTGATCCACTCTGAGCTTTGTTTTCTTTCTCTTGTTTTTGACTGGTCTTGTGACCATAGGTTGCTTGTTGTTGATTGGCATTCCCCACTTAGGCTATGGGGGTGTGTCAAATATTATAGCCTGTAGTGGGTTGGGCTATATGGGGTACAACTAGTTAGGGTTAGGTGATGTACCCCAATTCTGTCAACCCAACGCATTCCGCTGTAGTTCTCATTCTGACACTGCCTACTACTTCTTCTACATACTGGGTGTCGCCTCATTGGGTGAAACAACCAATGAGGCGACATGGTGTGTCGCCGACAACGACTCTTGGTTTTATGCCAGTGGTAAGAAGCGACAACGCTTGCTTGTGTGGGTGTGGTACAGTTCGTCACCAAGCGGAATATGGCCTGATCCGCTGTAAAAAAGTTTCGGTATCAGGGTAGCAGGCCCTCAGATTGGTTTGAGGGTATGCTGATCGATCAGTGTGCCCCGGCCGCCCAAGTGTCCAAATCAGCGTTCATGGTTTTTTTTATACTGATTTTGCCATTGTAAAAATCATAAGTAGACTGAACCATCAGTGTAAAAAAGAAAAACAAAGTTTGCCGCTGTGAGAGTTCCTTCCAGCGATGCAAAGCACGGCGGCACGCGATCTGCTGTACAGTGCATGGCATCTCCAAGTGTGTGGGTGGGGTCTCGTGAATCCCGGGCCAGGTACATACTATAAACACGCTTACCCCCCCCCCCCCCCCCCCCCCCCCCCCCCCCCCCCCCCCCCCCCCCCCCGAATCGGTCAAGTCCGTTTCAGTGTGACTCACGACACTACGCTGATTCGTCAGTGTTACTTCTACAGCAACACGGAAAATGGTCAGTGTGGCAAGGTAGTTCATACTGAAATTTCAGTGCAAAATTGAAGCATATGCTGAATTTCCAGGGAAAACGAAAATCACAGCTACAAAATCAGCCTAATCAGCGTGTTTTACGCTGATATCTGAGGGCCTGCAGGGTAGTCTACACCCTACCCTAAGGTCGTGTTCCTACGGCCCCTTATCAGGCCAACCTCTTATCAAGCTCGCTTCAAAACACACTGAAAATTTCATAAACCTTAACCCTCGCTACTTTTACCAGGCAAGGCTGACAAGAGGTTTGCCTGATAAGAGCGTAGGAACATGCCCTAATACTGTCAGGCTAATCATAGATCCTATCAGGGTAAAAAAAAACATGCTCTTTTTGCATCAGGGTAACTTTCGTGGAATCCTGATTTCGGCAGGGCAATCTTGAAAAAGCAGCCTGCCCCCAGGGTAATCAGGGCGTTTTACCCTGATATTTTGGGCCCTGATGGCGAGGCAGATACAAGACTGTACAATGGCACACACACACAGCATGCAGTACGCTTAGAGTGCTGCGAAGCACGAGGCGACAGGCGGGTGTGAGGGATAGGTAGGAGCAGCAACAGCGCAGCCCAGCGTAAGCAGAGCAGCATGCAGTAACACGTGAGCACTGGTACGGGCAGTGCGGGTGTAGCACCCAGCCTCACATTGTGGCAACAGCACGATGGGCCGGTGGCATGATCAATCCAGGAACAGTACCAACACGTGGCATGTGAGTAACACACGTACCCAACAGTAGCACAGCCAGGCAGCCCCACAGAGCCCGCACACCCCGGCATCAACTCACAGCATGCTGCACACCGCAACGCATCACATCACTTGGCGCAACAGCAACCACACCGCACCACACATCCTGCAACCGGCATCACCAATCACTCCCACAACGCCCTCACAGCCCCCAGCCCTGGTCCAGGATCTGGCCAACACCCCCCAGAAGCAGCACAGCGAGGTCTGAGAGTGAGGCGAGCACCACCTCCCAGAGACACAGGTCCAGCGCCAGCACCACCGACAGCAGCAGCAGCGCTGCCGTCTGCTGCCGCGTCATCGGCCACCCTGTCGCGCCCGCTAGATGGCCCAGGAGCTTGTCTAGCAGCGCGTGTGCTTGCTCGGAGAGGTGTGTGAGGTGTGGGGAGCGGAAGGTGGGGATGGAGGAGGAGGGCGACGTGGGTGGTGTTGTTGTTGTTGGGTGGGCAGAGCTGAACATGGTGGGGTTTGCGAGGGATGGCGAGGTGCGACGTGAGGCAGGGCGGGGCAGCGTGGGCAGACCGGGTGGAGAGGCCGCTGCAGCGGACGAACCAGCTGCTGCTGCTGCGCTTGCAGCAGTAGAGGCAGCAGAAACGGAATCCACGTCGGAAGGCAGCACAGCAGAGGAGGCAGGAGGAGGAGGAGGTGCAGGCAGAGGAGCGAAGGCAGGAGTGGGGATGGACCAGGCAGTGCGCCAGGACAAGTCACTCGGTTCCAAACCGAGCTCAGTGGTGAGGCGCAGGTGCATGTCCGGCAGGTGCCCACTGCCGTAGAACACTGCAATGCGCCTGCTGCCCGCCTTGAGCGCCTTGTGCACCTCCTGCATGCACGCCCGGTTGCGCTCGCCTATGATCACTGATGATGCCATCACGCCCGCTGCCCCGTCCAACGTGCTGAAAAAGGGCGGGGCCAGGGGTAAAGGGGGTAGAGAGTGAGTGGGGGGGAAGGAGAGGGGGGAAGCAGCAGAGTGCAGGTGAGGTGATTTTGGTAGCGGGTGGTGTGTTTCGTCGCAATGCTGCGGATTATTTGTGGACAAGCGGATGGCATGCCAGCCATAGCCATCCCACCCCCCTCTTAGCACTGCAATGGCACCACCCTCTCACAAAGGGAATCACACATCCCAACGTCTCACCCCCCCACACACTCACTCCCTGCAACCCTCCATTCACCCTTCCCCACCATCACTCCCACTTCTTTTCCCCCACCCATCCCTCATCTCCCCATCCCCCTCCCATCCCACCACGCACTCGAGTGTAATCTGCCTCGCAAGCACCACTTTAAGAGCAGAAGACAGGTCGAGGTTCAGCAAGGCCTGGAACTCAGCGCCCTTCACCAGCGCACTGCTGCCAGGGCCCTCAGGCGCACACACGCCCTCAATCACCAGCAGCCCCACCAGCGGCATCGGGACAAAGCGCGCCGCCCAGAGGAGCGTGCGGCGCAGCGGGCCGAGGTTGGCCGCGAGGGGGCGCGCAGCGGTGGCGCGGACGATGGCCTTGGTGGAGCGCAGGGCTACCTCGCGCGCGAATGATAGCATGCTCTCGCCCCGCTCCTCCTGCTCGGAGAAGGAGCATGGGGGATAGGGGCGTAGGTCGGGAGAGATGGGGTGAGTTGGTGGGAAGGAGAGTAGGTGGCGGTGAGTTGCTACGAGGTGGTATGAGAAGCAAAGGGGTGATGTTAAGAGTGGGGGGTAGAGAAGATCCTCACAGCTCGCAGAGACCACGGCAGGTGTGATGGTCAAAAGAAAGCCAGGGGAAGTGGGGGGAGGGAAGGGAGACAAGCAAGCTGGCCTGGCCACGAGAAGAAAGACAGCATGACTTGTGGGAAGGTGCACTGTGATGGACAGCTTGTAATTGGTGGGAGGTGGCGGTGGCAGCGGAGAATGAGGGGGGGATGGGTATGCAAGCAGGCAGGTAGGCAGGGAGTGGCTGACGGGGCGAGAGGGGGAATCGTCACGGGGAGAAGCGAGAGTGTAGGCAAGGAAGATAGGAAGCGGGCGAGCGGAGTGCGGGCGAATGGGAGAGCGGGGGAAGGGGAGAGCAGGCGAAGGGGGGAGAGAGCGGGCGAAAGGGGGAGAGGGAGCAGGCGAGGGGGGAAGAGAGCAGGCGAGGGGGGAAGAGAGCAGGCGAGGGGGGAAGAGAGCAGGCGAGGGGGGAAGAGAGCAGGCGAGGGGGGAAGAGAGCAGGCGAGGGGGAGAGCGCAGGTGAGAGCGGGCATGCCTGGAGTTGGAGGAAGGTGGCGAGGTCGAGGTCAGCATGGTAGAAGTTGGCGCGGCGGTAGTCCACGTGGTCCAGCTGGAACGACAGCCGTAACATGCGCGCCATGCCGCTCTGTATCGCCCCCACCACCCCCCGCCGCCTGCCGTACCGCGTCGGGGTAGGGGGAGGGGGGGAGGTGGGGGAAGGGGACGGAGGAGTGCGGGACGGGGAGGGTAGTATGGACGAGGGAAAGAAGAAATGTTTTCTTTGGAAGAGGTGGAGAAGCGAGGAGAGAGCAAAAAGGGGGGGGGGGAGGGGGGGGGGGGGAGCGCGCGCAGTAAGGGAGAAGCAACAAGGCAGGAGCGGGTGCAGGAATTGGGGTATGGTGGTGCAGGGTGTGCGGAGCAGAATGAGGAGGCAGGGAGCGGGTGGAGTAGGAATGAAGCGACTTCGGCTAGTGGCTACCCCTTAGACCCTACACACACGTCGCCACCATCCATCATTCCTCGCACGCATTGCAACGCATCGCGCCCCTAATCAACCCTTCAGCCACCTTCCCTCGCAGAAGCAATTGGTTCCCCGTCCCCAGTCCCCAGTTCCCCATCCCCTGACCTGACCCTTCTTCCCCCCGTTCCCCGTGCCGGCGCCCACCCCCGCATCGCGGCGCGCACCTGCGCTTGGGGTTGCGCTTGGGCGGCATCCAGCGGTCGCTCTCCTTGCGCCCCACGAACCGCCGCCATCTGCTGTCCCGTCGCTGCGCGTCCTCGCCGTCCGCGTCGCCGCCCGCGGGTTTGGCAGAGGCGGCGGAAGCGGAAGCGCGCTGTTTATCGGCGACCATCTCGTAGAGCACGCGGTCGTACGTCGCTAGCTCCGCCTGTAACGCGTCGTAGTACCTGCGCGCGGGGGATGGGGGAAGGGGGAATGGGGAGGGGGAAGGGACGAGGGGGACAGGGGAAGGGGGAAGGGAAAAGGGGCTAGGGGGAAAGGGGGAGGAGGAAAGGGGAAGAGGGAAAGGATGGGGGAAAGGGGAAGATGCAACGGGGGGGAGAGGGGGAAAGGGGGAGGGGAGGGGGGGGGGGAGGAGGGGAGGAAAGGTTGAATGGGAGAAATGCGGACGGCGTAAGACCGAGAGGAGCAGCAGAGGGAGGATTGAGAGACAAGCGTGGCATCGAGCAACAACAGTGCGGCAAAGGACGGAAAGGTGGCAAGGGTGCGCGTGGGAGCGTCGGGGGGCGTGGGGTCGGGGCCATCGGGGGAACGGGGGGTCCGGCGGGGAAAGGGAGTGTGGCGCGGCTTACTCTTGATCAGCGATGTGCACCACGGAGACCAGATCCACCTAATGCCACGCACACATGCACGCACGCACGCGCACAAACATACATCCATGCACACGCACATGCGCATCCCCATGCCCACACCCACCCCTCATGCCCCGCACACACGCCGAAAACGCAAACAGGCACGCGCAGAAACATACACGAAAGTCGATTGAAAGGTGAGGCTTGAGCGCCGCAATGGGTCGCTAGCAGGTCGTCTGAGCGTGCACATCGAGACGCGCATTAAGCTTTTAACGGTTACAACGGCTGCGTGCGCTGAGAGCAGCAGCGAACAGCGAATGCGCTTCTGACCAGCGGCGTACTTAATGCCAGTTAATCATCCAGGCGTTATGCGCGCTTTCCACTCTCCTCCATCGTTTCCATCTCCCTTCTTCGTCTCCCCCTCCCCCTGCCCTCTACTCCCCTCTCCTCCCCCTCCCCCCGCCTGACTCATCACCGCCTCCACCATTTCACTGTCATCCGCCCTTACCTCTCTCCCCTTGCCTTCCCTCTCCATCTCCGCCGCCTCACCTGCACGGGCGGTCGCAGCGCGTTCCACCAGCGGGCGGGGCGGCGGTACGACAGCACGGCGGTCTGCAGCTCCACGCGCTGCGACGCCGCGTCCTCGTGCAGCCGCAGGAAGTCCGCGATCGAGCTGCCCATCTCGCCGCGCACCGCCGACCCTTCCCCCTCTTCACCCCCCGACCTATCCCCGTCTCTCTCCCCCTGGGCCGCAATCCCGCCTGTCCCCTCCGGCGCAGTCCCGCCGGTGTTCTCTGCCCCGATCGGGCTTTCCGCAGGCGGCGCGCGCCATCCGCTGAAAATGCCTGCGCGCGAGACGTTTCGTCGTTGCCGCCTGTTCCGGCTGCCTGCGCGCGAGCTCGCGCCGGAGAACTCGTTGGTAGCTACGGGGCGCGTAGGGGAAAGGCGGCAGGCTACTGGCGAAACGATGACGCGCGCGGGCTTGGCGCGGGCGGAGCGGAGAGGAGCTGGCGAAGAGCGGGGCGTGCGGGGATGGAAAATCGGTGACTGGGAAGATGCGAATGCGTGTGGCGGGCGGGACACTAAAAGTGACGATGAGCGTGACGCCATTCGGGACGGGCGGAAGGGAGGAAAAACGGGAACGATTGGGGTGGGAGACGATGGCGGCACGACGACTGGCCCTGAAGATGGAATGATGCTGTGAAGGAATTTGCAGAAGTGTCGCTTGGTTGGTGATTAAGTAAATGCGGCCATGCGAGGACAAGCATAGTCGAACGAACAGCAGCTGTGTTGCAGTTTATTGCGCGGCTCGAGAAAAGAGGACGTTAACAGGCGGGGTGGGTGGTGGTGGTGGGAGGTATTGTAGGAGAGGAGAGAGCAGGTGGGGATTGGGTTGGCGCGGGTAACGGAGGAGTGACGGGACGGAAGGGATGATTCAACCTGCTCTGCATGATGGTGTTGGATGAATCCGACCTGAACCGGTCAGTCGCCGATATGTTCTCGTTTGTGCAGTGACAGATGTGGAACGCTTATTTGGTGAACTTGTGTGGGACAACTGGATTTCCAGCTCCCTCCAGTGAAGGACCAGAAAAAGTTGTGAGGACTGGGAGCATGCCACGTCAAATACCGCCAATGGGTTCAGCCCATGTGAAGATAACACGTGTGACGTAAAAATCCTCCCCACAACTGTCTCCACATCCAGACACACGCAAGTATACATTTCTCATTGGTGTAAATAAAGAACAGTTGCATACATATTTAATGTTAGTCCCCTCACCCTAAATTCCCTCAGGAATACGGTTGTTGAGTCAGCTAAGTCCAGGATGAAACACGGATCAAGCTTTAAGCAGAAAAATACTTGCTACATAACCCCCCTGGTTACAAATCCTTCTTACGGTAATTTCATTCTGTTAATAATTGAATGTTTTATAAAAGGCAAAAAAAAAGACTCGACGTTCAACGTCGTATGGGTTGCGTAGGTGCAAAATACGCGATATAGGCAAAAAAAAAATACTAATGTTCGTGTGTCCCCCATCTACAATTGTTTCGTCGCATACATAATGCTTTTTTGTCTTGTGAGAGTTGAAACGAGAATGAATGCACTAACGAATGGAAAGTGGTACAAATATGTAACCCTAGAAATGTGTACCCCATACACGCTACCCCACTACAGCCTACAGAACATTATGATTTGACACACCCCCATAGGCAAAGTGGGGGAGAACAAGGGGTCACAAGACCACTCAAGCAGAACAAAGCAAAGCTCAGGGTGGATCACAAAGTCACCACACATTCCGAGCACAAGTTCAAGGCCAGAAGGCCAGTTCACATGCAGGAGCACATATATATATAAAAGGTAAACAAACAAGTGCAGGAGTATATATATATATGACAGTACAAGCAAGGTCAAGAAGTGAGCAAGTGAGGCAAGGCAGACACAAGACCAAGCTGAGTACACAAGCGCTGATGATCACAAGGCGCAAGTGCCTTAGTGAAGATATCATCACTGTTGGCCTCAAAGGCCACGTACGCAAGTCGCAACTGACCACGCTGCTGCAGCTCACGAGCAAGAAAGTAGCGGAGAGCAATGTGCTTCGTTCTGTGCTCCAGGCGCTGCTCCCGACACAAGGCCAGCATGGCCTTGTTGTCTACGTACAGCACTGGAGGAGAACGAGGCGACTCTCCGAGGTCAGTCAGAAGGTAGGTGAGCCAGCGAAGCTCTTGAGCAGCCATGGCTCCTGCGTAGATCTCAGCCTCACAACTGGAGCCGAGAACGGAAGACGAGCGAGTAGCCCTCCTCGAAACAGAGCCGGAACCAAGGCTGAAGGTGTAACCCTGTGACGACCGCTGTGTAGCCTAGTCCGTCAGCCCAAGAAGCGTCTGCGTGCCCAGTGAGGACCACTGGACTCTGCCCTCCAAGCACTAGCCCCATGCCCGACGTACTGCACAAGAAGCGCAACACCCTCTTCGCTGCAGCCATGTGCTCCGGTCTATGTCTTCCAGGAGCAACATAGCGTGCAAGAATGCTAAGAGGGTATGCAAGGTCAGGTCGTGTGCAGGTCATCAGGTACATGAGGCAGCCAACAAGCTCTGGGTACGGGCCACTTGACTCTACGGACTCATCCGAAGGCAGAGCTGAGAGCGATTGGCGAGTAGGCAGAGGAGTGGCCTGAGGCGAGGAGTACGTGAAGCCGAAGCGCTGAAGGACCTGCTGCACCATGTGTGACTGAGTCAGGGTAATGGTGCGGCGTGCTCTGTCCCGGGTGATCTGCACGCCAAGGTAGCTGCGCAGTTCACCCAGGTCTGTGCACGTGTGTCTCTTCTGCAGCTCGGACTTCACGTGGGCGAGTCCAGCAGTGTCAGGTGTGACAAAGAGCAAGTCGTCGACGTACATGAGGATGTAGAACGGCGGCAAAGAAGTGTCGGTGCGCAGAAACAGCGACGGGTCGGCAGTAGAGGGAGTAAACCCAAGAGCCGCAAGTGTAGTCCTCAATGTGTCGTGCCACTCACGCGGTGCCTGGCGGAGACCGTAGACTGGCCGCAAGAGGCTCCACTGAGCGCCAGGAGGAAAAGACCCAGTGAAGCCAGGTGGGCGACGCAGCCAGATCTCCTCGTGCATGCTGCCCTGCAAGAAAGCAGTGTTGAAGTCAAGAGAGTGAAGCTCGTAGTTGCGCTGAGCGGCTATGTGCAGCAGCATTCGAAGAGTGGTCATCTTCGGGGTGGGAGAGAAGGTCTGAAAGTAGTCAACTCCCTACCGCTGACTGAAGCCACGAGCCACGTATCGCGCCTTGAAGACAGGTGGAGAACCTGGCGGCCGCTTCACCCTGAAGATCCACATGCCACTGACTATGTTCACCCCAGGTGGGGGAACCGCGTCAACGTAGGTGCCCGTGGACTTCCAGGAAGCCATCTCTGCATCCATAGCTGCCTGCCACTGAGAGGAGTAGGGACCCTCTACGGCCTCCGCGTAAGAGCGCGGAGTCGGGATGTCAAGTGCATCCGGGTCTCCCTCAGGGGTAAGCAGTACGGACACGAGATGAGGTGAAGCAGCAGCCAGACACTGGAACTCCTTCTGCCTGTCCTCAAGGACGTCCGTGCCAAGGGCACACTCACCCCCGACGGACGGAGGATAGACAGACTCAGACTCAGCAACAAGACTGACGGCGTAGTCTAGGCGACATCGAGCAGCAGAGTCGACGAGCTCAGCAACTAGGGAAGACGCAGCAGTGGACTCAAAGGAAGGGTCAGTGACAATAGTAGCAAGGAGACGCGTGATAGTAGGACTGGTAGCACAAAGAGAGTCCGACTCTGGGTCGGCAAGAGCAGGAAGAGAAGACTCAGGAGGAGAAGTTTAAGGGGCACGCAGAGGAGCAGTGGACGGACGCAGAGACATCCGGTGCGTGCCAGGGACGGGAGGAGGACGCTGACGCGAACCGCGACCACTAGTGCGAGCAGCACGGACAGGCAACGCAGGGCGAGACGCAGGCTCACGACGCTCAGCAAGACCTCCAGTAGGACCAGTGTAGGGAGACGGAGCAGGCAGTGGGGAGGCCGGCTGTAACTGTAACTGCGACGGGACAGGCTGTGGACACTCTAAGGGAGGAGGAGGACCAGTAGAAGACGGGAGACCAAGAACCTGCTGAACGAGCGGAACGAAGTACGGCCGAGGCCGCGCGGCGACTCCAGACACAGCAGGGACAGCACCAGCACCCCCAGTGGCAGCACCAGCACCAGTAGCAGCTCCAGCTCCAGTACCTCCAGCAGCACCAGTAGTACCCCTAGTAGGACCGCCTCCAGGACCGACAGCAGGAGCCTCCGCGCCAACACGTGCAGCAGCTCCAGCTCCAGAAGTACCCGCAGGCCTAGCAGCTTCAATACTCTCAGTACGAGCACCTCCGAGACCCGAGGCACCAGCTCCCTCAGAAAGAAAAGAACCTCCAGCACCCGCAGCACCTCCAGCTCCAGCAGCTCGCCTCCAGCGCCGGGCAAACCACTCACGCAGCTCCTGTGGAGAGAGTGGCTCTCGGCACGACAAAGCACCCGGAGAACCGCCAGGCACAGCACCAGCATGCCCAGCTCCCTCAGGCTCCGCACCCCTAGGCTCAGTACCTCTACGCATAGCACCCCCAGGCTCAGCACCCCCAGGCGCAGCACCCCCATGCGTAGCACCCCCAGGCTCAGCACCCCCAGACTCAGCACCCCTAGTAGTAGCACCTTCAGGCTCAGCACCCCCAGGCGTAGCACCCACACGCTTAGCACCCCCAGAGTCAGCACCCCTAGGCTCAGCACCCTCAGCAGCACCAGAGTCACCAATAACCTCGACACGCTCGATTGCGTCTACGTGGGACACACGTGAAGGGGCAGGACCCTGAGGGGGAGGGGGTCTACCGTGGGGGGACCTGGCACAAGGAAGAGTGGTGGCGGGGGGAGGGACGGAGTGCGGTAGGGGAAGAGGCGGTAGTAGGGGACCGACTCGTCAAATGTGACGTCCTGGGAGGACAGAACACGACGAGAGGTGGGGTGGTAGAATTGCCACCCTGGCGCGTCAGGGGGGAACCCCAGGAAGACGCAAGGAGCAGCACAAGGGGACAGCTTGTCCGCAGACAAGTCGCGGACAAACGCCCGAGATCCCCAGACACGGAACGCAGACGCATCGCCAACCTTCCCCGTCCACAGCAAAGCTGGGGAGGTCTCCGACATGGAGACCCTGGGGTGAAGGTTGATCTGATGGCCGCGTACCGAACCGCAAACGGCCACAGAAAATGGGGGGCAGCCGCATGCATCATGGACGTACGGGCGACGTCCATGACCATGCCAATGCGGCGCTCAGCAATCCCATTTTGCTGTGGAGAGTCCGGAAGCGTAAAGGTCTGGCGGATGCCTCGCGCACGACAGTATGCTCGCAGAAGGCCAGAGGAGAACTCTCCGCCTCGGTCAGAGTGCAGACGCAGAACAGGAAAGTCCGAGCCGAAGCTCCTCCTGAGCTGGAGACGAGCTGCGCGAATCCAGTCAATCAACACCTCAGTGACATCACCCTTGCTGCGCAAGGGGAAGACTGTGGTGTAACGCGAGTAGTCGTGAACCACCAGCAGGAAGTAGCGCTCGTGACC